ACCCCAGATTTAACAATTGTTGATAAGAAAGGCAAAAAAAAAGTCTGGATAGTGGACATTGCAATGCCTGGAGACAGCAGAAGGGAAGAGAAAGAACTGGAGAAAATCACAAAATACGAAGACCTGCAAATAGAAGTAGAACGACTGTGGCAAAAGAAAGCAAAGATAGTCCCAACAGTTATAGGCGCCTTGGGTGCAGCCCCAAAACATCTGGAGCACCTCTTGAAGACCCTCTGCATGGACAAAATCACCATCAGTCCATTGCGAAAGGCAGCTTTATTTGGAACAGCTTCCATTCTGTGATGATACCTTTAACGCCATCAAACAACAGTCCTTGGAAAGAACTCAATAGGTGGACAAAAAGGCCAAATCCAGTCTAAACATCTGGCTGACTGTGCAACCAACAACAATAGTAATAAGCCATCTGCAGATACTTGCTCTCAAAGCAAAGAGCAAAGTCTGAGATGGATTTTCCCCCTCCCCCCTCCCCCCAGTCTTGCTCCTAAGCTCAGCAAAGTATTAAAAAAACCCTTCAACTCCGAAACTATGTCCCTCAATTAGCAAAGAATGCAGTTTGATTAATAAAGTCTATGACATTTCAGCTATTAAAATCTGCAGAGCAACTGGCAACCAGACTGCAGTCACAGCTTGCTGTATTAAGTCTCTTGCCAGATCAACCAAGCAGATAATAGAAGCCAAATCCATGTAGTAAATAATGCAGCCAAAGTGGGAAAAATGGACCCTTCGGCTTGTTACAGATGTAGGGTTGTTTGTAGCCCCTAAAGATCACCACCATTAGAAAAGCGGGGGGAACAGGAAGGTTGGGTCAACCATGGCCAGCATTGACTACTGTATAGAAAATGTGCCCTTTCGTTATCTGCTTCAGCGTAAGACATTGGCATCCAAGATCTACTCAGTAGAATGACCTCCAATTTCTCAAACACAGTCAGGGTGCCCTAACATATTTTCATCTCCATAAAGACTCTCAGTTTTTCCCAATTTGGGGAACTTCCAGATATGTAGGCTTCAACTCCCAGAACTCTCTCAGCAAAGACCCATGTCAGAAAAAGCCAAAGTCCAACTTGAAAAAGGCCAGCATTCTCTTTAGGGGCACAGTGTCAGCCAAACCCAGATCTACTTTTCCTGCAGGTATTTTAAACCTCAAAGGTTGAGATTTGCTATTTGAGAGCTGGGGAATGCAGATGTTGGACAGAGTCCAAATGAAAGGCCAGATGAGTGTTCTTCTCTTCCCAGCTGACCTATTCTATTCCCTGTCACATCATGAGATGCCACATGAGATGTAGAAATGCGCAGAAGCTGATGCTTTAAAGTGAGGGTGCATACGTTTTCATGGATACGTGAGGCTTTCATTTGACCAATTTTTCATCCCTATGGATACAAGCTATGGGTTGATTTGGCCTTGACAGACCATTGAGGAACGCAGCGTTTGAAGTCTTCATCCCTTCCTCTCTAATCTGATTAGTATTTAGGAGAATATGAGGCAGCCCAGGTCTATAGGTTAGCTTGGGAAGTTGAAAAACAATTTGGCAAACCACTTCTGCATCATTGTCAAGAAAACTAGATGGGGACATCCATAGCATTACCAGTAACTGAGTTCAAACTGAGGGAATCTTTATTGTCAAGTTCACTTAATGGAATTTGCCCGAAGGAAGAAATGAAATGCCATTGGAAAAATAGATGTAGAGGAGATCGCCCTGAAGAAGGTTTTCAACAGTCATTTGATAGACATCAACTTAGACTCCAAAGTGAAGAGAGAGTGAGGAAGAAACTCAAGATTGCCCCACTTTGACTCTCTTTGGTATGAGAGGGAAGAAGAGAAAAAACGATGTCAGGCTTTCAAGTTTCTGTTATTATACCTTTGAACAATAAAGTAGAGTTCCATTAGTTCTTGTGGTGTCCATTTCCTGACCTGGCTTACCGTTGAAGGTTTGACAAAGGCAGTCTTGCTGATTTGTTTTAACAGAAGACCAGGACAGTGATTACTTAGCATGGTGCTGAAAATGTAATCTTCATTATTTTCAACATCTTCATTCAGTTGGATGGAAAGTACTACTTTTAATTCCTCTCCCCAATTAAGGGATCAGTTGGTGCACGGGTTCCTGTTTTCCATGGCAGTCTTCAGCTGTCTGAAGCCTCCCTGGCTTTCCTCACCTGGATGGAGACAACACTTAAAAGTGGAAAGGATCCTGGAGATGGAGAAATGAAGCTGAAAGGATGAAGTTCCTTCAGTTCCCCTTTTTGGAAACCCAAGATAGGATCAGAGTTTTGATACTTGCTGTAAGAGCAGGTTGGTCCACTTGTAGAGCTGCAAATAAAACTAACGTAAGAAAAGCTCTTTCATCAAAACTAATTATAAACTCTGAACTTTGCAGAACTCTGGTGGTCGATAACTTTCTGAAGAGGGAAGAGGGAGGGGAAAAAATAAGGAAATCATTCAAGGCCTTTGGGGAGGTTGAAACCCAGAGTAAGTAGTCAAAAAGATGGCCTGTGGCCTGTTTCCCTTCCCACATGTGGATTGTTTTCTTATCCATATGGCCTTCTGTAGCATGCTCAACATGTGGGAACATCCTAGGGGTCTACATAAAAGAAGGCCTACTTTGCACTGTTGGAAAACAAAGCCAAATTCCAAAATGTTTTCATCTCTGTTTGGGGAGGGAGGAGGGGAGAAGGGAAGGGAATAGCTTTGAAAAACCAAAAAATCTCACAAAGAGCCTCTCCCAGAATTCTCCCCAAGGACTTGCTTTGAGCATGTCTTTGAATTTTCCCAGCAGATTCCATGACTGTTGTTGCGAATGTGGTCTGCAGGGCTGTGTTTCCTGAAGAAGAAGAGAAGACCACCAACCCACCTTTCCCTTCTCTCTCAATTTGCTTGCTTTAACACAACAGCTAGGCTGCCTGGGATGAATAGAAGATGTACATCTAGGGCCTCAACATCTGGATTTCCCCAAATACTGCACTTTATACTTTTTTGCCCCCTCCTAAGCCAGCAACAATATTGTCTGCAGCCCTTCTTAAAAGAAAGACAAAGGAAAAAAGTAAGGGGGAAAAAACAGGAGGAGGAAATTGAGAAAGGGGGAAAGAACTGGAGCACCCAAGGATGTAGGGGAGGCAAAAGACATTGTGTTCAGGACCCCCTAGGATCCTGATGACTCGACTAGGCATCCAATGGCTTTGCTTCCATCTTAGAATCTTGTACACTCATTACAATGTCAGTTCTTGGGTTCTCGTTAAATGTGGCTGTACTAGATTAATTGACAGCCAGTTTGGTGGAGTGATTAAAGGCACTGGACTAGGAACCAGGAGACTGTGAGTTCTGGTCCTTCCTTGGGCACAAAAGCCAGCTGGGTGGCCTTGGGCCAGTCCCTCTCTCTCAGTCCCAGGAAGAAGAAGAAAACAAGGGCCAGCCCCTTCTGAAAGTGCTGCCAAGAAACTGGCAAGAATCTGTTCATATAGGTGCCAGAAGTCAAGACTGACTCAAAAACATCCCTACAATCCTAGATTAATTCGTAAAAGTAAAGTATGCATACCTACAGTGGTGTTTGCAGGGAGAGATGACAAGCATGCAGTTGAGGTCCTCCTGCCCTTTACACACGTTTTGGTTTCTCACCCCCATCAAGACTGTTTTGTCCCGCATCGCCAGGGACGCTCCTGCACACATACAACAGAACCAACAGAAAAATATAACATCGGTATTTCTCAGAAGGCTGATGCTTATTTGATGAAAGAGCCAACATCCATGCTCCTGAAGCAGGATTTTTTTTTTTAAAGATAATATATGTATATCCCATAATGCTTCCATCAAGGTGATATATGTTGAAATTCCCACATGTTCTCTGATCCAGGCATGGAAGTCAGTTTAACTTCTGCAAAGTTGAACTCTGGAAGTCCGTCCAACTTCTGCAAGATGGCCATACATTGAACCTTGTGTGGTGCTCAATGGTCATGGAGCTTTCTAGGGCTGGGTAGGAACAGAAAACCAGGTCATGAAAAAATCACCTGGAAATGTCATGTCTTTCTATCCTTCTCCATTTTCAAAAGTCCATCAGTCACTCAACCAACCTCCCCCCAACTGGAGCATTTCAATTTGGGACTATGTTTTCAGAACACATGCTGAAGTGTGGGAAAATGATTTGGACTGCTTGTTTCAAAACCCCAAACCAACCCACAAGACTGTAGACCACTAGCAAAAATGGGGAGAAACACAGCTGCCCAAGGACCACCTTTTCTTCATGCACAGAGGGGGCTGCGTAGGTATTCAGGATGACTGAGACTCCAGAAATGCAATTGCTTCACCGCATTCCTTAGTCGCAGACCAACCTGGGAAGTAACATGGATAGATTTTGTTTATTGTGTGACTTGGCTCAAAGTAGGGAATAAACCCAAACCATCTTCGACAAGACAAGCCTTCCAAACAATTCTATGGCTAGGAAGTGAGCCTCGGAAATGCTGCAGAAACAATGCTCACTAGAAGGGAAAGTGCTTGAAAAATGAAAGTTGGCTTAACTTTTGCTTGTTCCTTAATGTTGACTTTCTCTTGTCTACTGACATGCGCCATTAGGGAACCTGAAGGACCAGGTTGGAGACTGATCATCCTGGAGAAGGTCTATCTCTGTCGTTGCAAAGAGCGGATACCAACTGGATGGCACATAAGCCATCAAGTTGTTTGCAGCCATAGGTTATCACCCTAAGCCTTCAATATTGTAGTTAGTAAGCTTTTCTGGAGCCCCATAATATGTGGAATTTTCAAGAGATGTTGGCACTTTTGAAAAATTGTAGCTGGTTTAATTGAATTTGGGGAGGATATGAATGCTTTTGGGAAGGGCTAGGAGGATACACTGGTACCTTAGCTGTCAACACATTGATAGATTGCATAATTAGGCTGCGAAGCCTTCAACCTGCCACATGTTTTCTTCCTTCTTCCCAAAGTTGTGATTTGGGGGGGCAAAAGTTCTGAAGAACAAAAGCCACCCAATTACCTGGGATGTTCCACTAACTAGAAAGAGAAAGACATTTCACAAGGAAATAACAAGCTGTTTTGTATTTGAGATTCTTTTAAAGAAAGCCACACCTTTTCTGAATGAGTAAGCCATGCCTTCACTGACTCACAGACAGTATTCTATTTCCATGCTATTACCTACAGACCTTTCTGGCATCTGATGTTGTAACCAGCAAGAGAAAAACATGTCAGCTAAGCTCAAGTAATTTGGTGCTATGGAAAAATAATTTCTGGCTAAGCCAAAAGATCAAAAGCAAATTCTAAATCTTGCTGGGATTTTTCCTAATAAAGGGACAGCTGCATTTACTGTATAAAATCCAGTTAAACAAAGCAGTGGTGTAATGCAACAATAATCCCTTGGGTTTGAATTTTTTTTTAAAATCCCATAGATTTGATGAGGCTTCCACCCTTTCTCAGCATTTCTCTAAAAAAAGTCAAGATGAGGGAAGATAGATCCATCCAGATGTTGCTGAACATCAGCTAGCATGTCTTCAAGCAAGGGATCCTGGGAATGGATCTTCAGCAACATCTGATGTTGGGTACCAGGTCTGGGTTGTAAAGCTCTGCATGACCACAAGATGGCAGCACAGAGATTTTTGGGGGTAACTCTTTGTCTCCACCTGTGGTCATCTGGATTTTTCTCCACGCTACCTGGTACCCATGATACAGATTTCTCATCCTTGCATCTCATTGCATACAATGGTTATCAGTCTTGATATCAAAATTGTTTGGGCCTGCAGGAAAAATTAGGGGGAAAATTGAAATCCTAAAACACCACCTTCCTTACCAACAGTTTTCAAAAAGAAAACTGTTCTAGGGTAATTCCCACCAAATTCCATACGTGGGTTATAAGTTGTCTAGCAGCCACTAATATAAATCTCTATCTCTGTTTCTGTATAATTCTATTCATACAGCAATTTTTCATTTGCTCCCTCAAATGCTGGACAATTTAAGCTAAAGTACATTTTAACCCTAGAGCCAACCAAACTAATTTTAGTTTGGTGTGGTTCAAATATGTATGGCTTGTTTATATTTGGAATATGGAGCACGTGTGTGTGTATGTGTGAGAGAGAGAGTTTGTGTGTTTGTGAGAGAGAATATGTTGGTTTTAGCTGATGTGGTTCTTGTTCTCTGCTACGGTCAGAGTACCATTTGCAACTAAAATGTGTATATGCAAAAGCATCTATAGATATTGTAGTACATGGGATTCTGCTGGTGTGCTCTAAGGTCAGAGGGAGCATTTGCAAATCAAATGTATTTATCTGAGAGATGGAATTTGGCCTCCATGGTCAAATGTTCACATTCTCCGAAACAGGAGTCCTTAATCTTTTTGTAAATTCCATTGTAGGGTATAAAGGAAAGCCTTATATCCATTAGAAACTCCTCTTTGTGGATTGGAACATTGTCGGAGGAAAAAAGAGAGAGAGAGAGAGAGAAGGTCTCTGACGTCCCGTCTTTCCTCGCTCTTCCCGTCTGTCAAAATGCATTCAAAAGTTGGCTGAACCTTACCGAATAAATTACAGACTGCTGAGCTGACCTTTTCAAATAGAGTAGAGCAAACAGGGCTGGGGGCTGGGGCTTGGAGAGTGTTATGGTTTTTGATTCCCTCTCCCTGCCCTCCACCATCTCTTAAATCAACAGAAAGATTCTTCTCGGAATCAGTGAAGCATGTCCCCTACTAGATACCAGGAAAAACCATTCCAGAACGTCAAGAGGCAGCAGGTTAGCATCAAGTGTCACAGGCAAAGTATAAGGGACACAACTCCCTGACATTTTGGTATCACCCCTGAGAGAACTGCCTGACCCTGGAATGGAGAAGGGGGCTTCATCTCCCCCTGTGCTTCTGACAGCCAAATATTCTGGGTCAACCCTTGTTCTAAGCCAAAGAAGATGACTTAGTGCAAAAATAATCAAGAAATGATGCACTGGAGAAAAGCATGGGTGCATGTATGAAGCAGGGAGAAAACTTAAGAAAATAACATCCTTTCTCAAGAGAGTTTAACTTCAGGCCGAGGGGAAAAGAATCTAGAATATTTTCACATCTGGGCTTATAGAAAGACTCTGTAAGATTTCTCTGTTGTCTTGCCAAGATCCATTTTGTGTTTAAACAGACTAAAAATGACTTAATCCCTTTGTAGTTTTCTTTTCTTTTCTTTTTTTTTAAAAAAATCCTCTTTCCTCCACAATTAATGCCAGAGAATGAATGGTGATTAGAGGAAGGCCTTGTTAATTTATAACTTTGTTCTATCCAAGCCTGATGGGGGATGAGAAAGATAACAGGATTTGTATCTTTCAAGTTGACACCGAAATTGCACGGAAGTTTTATACCCTTAGATTTAAGCATCACCATAGAGCTAAAGGTTAATATAGCCCCCTCCATGCTGAATGGAAACACTGAAACATTTCTGAACAAGATACCTTTATATTATAGCTTTAACCTAGCAAATCAGACAGGACAACCATTCTGTTGATGGAGAAGGCAAACTTATGCTGGCCAATTTTCCTCAACTTCCTCGACACAACTCGATGTGTTTGGATTGGCGCCCTCCAGATTCCGAGCCAGTGTGAGTTTCGTTCTCCTCCCAACATATTTCCAGGACAGGAATGACTTTGTTTTGAATCCATGAGCAACAAACAATTCAGAATTGAGCAGTCGGAAAGGAGGAGAACTTGATTGGTTGGTGGAGTGAATGCTATGTTCAAGGAAATAAGAACTTTCCCCATTTTTGTTTTGTTTCAGGTCTATTATTCTTGTGGGGCTCAGTTCAATTCATTGGAAAGAGGCTTAATTTTATCTCCTGGTTTCCCAAACAATTATTCATCAGGGATGCACTGTATTTGGCGATTTCTTATTCCTGCTAAGACATACTTATTGTTGGAAATCTTTGATTTTGATGTGTTTGAAAGCATAAGTGAAAACCCGAATGCCTGGGACGGATATTTTTCTTTTACAAAAAATACAAACAAGGATTCTTCACACACTGAAGAAACCACAGAGTCTTCAAGCACCATCTTTCCTGCCAAGACTTCGGTTCCCCATGATCTTGACCCAAAAGAGCTTGATGATGGCTTTCCAGAAGCTACTTCTCAAAACCATGAGTGGGAGGAATTCCATCCAAGAGGAGAACCCAAAGAAGTAGCTGTTACTCAACCAAGTAAATTCCCAGTCCAGGGAGTAACCAGTGATACCTTGACAAGACAAATGTCTGATGGAAAACAGGAGAATAAGGACTTGGTGGACAAAATATTCTTTGCTCATCATCCTGCTAAGGAGAATGCCGAAGTTCCTCAGAAACATTTAGGAAAGGTGATTTTTGGAGAAGATGTTGGCATTTCAACAATGATATTGCCAGTTAACATCTCTTCCACTCCACCGTTCTCAGCTGATGCTTGTCCCAATGATGTCTTATATGTCTCAGACCTCACTGCCTTTTCTTCTCGCTTCTGTGGGACAAAATCGCCCTTAAACAAAAATATGACCTTTGGATCTTCTCTTAAGATGGTGGAAGTCATTGTGGAGCTGATCACAACCACCAATCGTGGGCGAGGGTTTGCGATGCTCTTCGAATACAAGAACGGTACAGAAACGATCGCTACAAATGATGTCAAGGATGGAGAAGAGAATATGATGATGCTGGTAGTCATAACTGGGATCCTGTTCTTTGCATTGATTCTGTTATCCTCACTCTGTATTGCATGTAGGTAAGTGTGAGATGGCGGACTCTTCTTCATTTTGTGTTGAAGTCTTAGTCTTTGAATTTATTTATTCATTGCATTTCTATCATTTCTAAAACTAAGTCAAAGTTATTTCTTTTCATGCCTTTTAATAAAAAGCAGGCAAGAAACACACACAATTTGAACATCGAACCTTAATTGTAACCTATTGGAGGAGTGTGAATACTAAAATTTAGTAACTTTGATTAGATGGGATGGACATCATACTTAATCAGATTGTTATTGCAGAATAATACATATAATATATTAGTTACTATTCCCAATTTCTTTGTAAAAATACAAAGGGAATATTGCAAATTATATGGAATATAATTTTTAATGTGATTATTTTTATGGAGGGTGGCCCACAGAGGCAAACATGCCTCAGATGAAAAATCCAAATAATCTTAAACTCATTAACATTGAGATCTTCAATTGTAATTAATCTTGATATAATACTTCTTTCTTTTTTTTCATCCTTAATGGTCAAAGTCATCTAAACATTAGAGTATTAATAATTTTCAGTCAATACTGTACAAATATCACTGTATCAAAACAATATAAAGTATTAAGATTTACAACATAATTTAAAAAAAAAGTCATAATTCAGACCTACTTGAACCCGTGTTTCTGAGGTCCAAGTCCCACACTTTAAGCTGCAACGCTAATGGTGCAATGGAGTGATGCTTCTCTAACACAAGGAAAAGGGGCTTGGGAGAATATTATTCATTGCTTAATTAATACATGAATAATTTTTTAAACAATGACTAAATAGTTTACATAAAATGTTGACCACTTCTTAAACATCACAAGTTGGATAATGCAGTGCTTCTGACTAATCAGTTGGTGAGTATGTTTTTGTAAAATGCATTTAATACACATTAATAAACTAATTACTCAGATTAATACATCAAGAAGCATCATTAGCTTTAAATCAGCAGCCAGTTCACACCTTGTATGAAGGTTTAGTTTTGACTTAGTAGATTTGCAAATGTAACTGTGGCTTTTTAAGACCTTGTCTATAGTTTATCATCAAATGTCAATCCAGTCAATTGTGGCTTATTAAAAAAAAATCCAGCAAACAGTGGCCTAACTAACAGAGGTGAAATACAAATTCTTTCATAACTGGCACCTAAACATGGCCCAAATACCTTGGCAAGATATTTTATTTCTGCTATGCCTGCATGCCTTCATCCCATCCATGAACAAGCCAGGCTTAAGTAGTCCTTAACTGTTGGAGTGGTATTTTCTCCCTTATCTTGACATTGTTCAAGAACATCTTAAGGTATATAATATCTGTGATCCTTAGTCCCTCCGGTCTTGAAGGGAAGTCAAGGGTGACTGCAATGATGAGGAACAGAAGCAATTGGTAACGAGGAGACCAAGTCTTGTGTTGGTAGAGTTTTCTACTAATTTATGGATAACTAGAGAGCATTTCAACTCAGCAGTAGGGAAACACTCTTAATGCAGTAGTCACTGCCCATCGCTGAAAGAGAGGATACCATAGAGGACTGTAGGACACATCATGATCCACTAATAAGAATCCACATACATGAATGATCTGCTGCATTGAATTCCCAAGCTGGCATGGAACCCAGGTGGGGAGATAATAGGACAGGTGTGGAAGGTTGGAAACTCCTGCCCCAAATCATTCCACTTTGGAACATTTTATTCCAATCACAGAATCAGAGAATTAGAAGGAACCATTAAAGCCTTGAAGTCCAACCTCCTCCCCGCACCCCATACAGGAATCCAGTTAATGGACTGACTCATTATTGAGTCTCAGAGACCCCAGCATTCAACCCCCATTCCTTGGTGCAATGCCGATCAGAATGCAGCAAACTTAATTGCTCAATTGTTGAGGAAAACCCATGCACAGCAGAATTGTCTGTTTGGGGAGCATGGGCCCCAAATTGTCTGTTTGGGGAGCATTTTCTCCTTCCATGCTGCGATTCTGTGCCCTTCTGAGGCCATAACAAGTAGCAACTGTTGTAGCATTTCCTTCTCTAGATCCTTCTATTCATCATCTCCTTCTCGTTTTCATTGGTGGGCTAAAAGTAGCAGCTTGGCCCCAGTCAGCAGCCCAGCCCAGACAAATTCCCAAATTCCCAAATTCTGGCTGTGTTGATCACCTAACATTGTTTTCATGGTGTGTGTTTGTGTGTGTAAATGAGTGGGGGAGGAGAAAAGACAGTTCATCAGTAAATGCCCAGAGATTCATTCTCCTCAACCACAGCAAAATCTCTGGGGATTCTCCAAGATTTTTGCCACACTGATCTCTTTGTTTACTGGTTGGAGAAGTAATGAAAGCTTCAGTTGTTGGTTGGCCAATACTTCTAATTACTTTTGGCCAGGAAGCTGGCCCTGAATCTGGCTGGCCACCTTCGTGAACATGAACCGTGCCCTGCAGAACCCAAGGTTGGGTTGTTTAGTTTCATTTACCTTTGTGAAGACAAAGAGGTTGCAACAGAATTCCCTCCCCCACCACCAAACTTTGCAAAATGTGGAGTATCTGAACTGTCAAATTACAGGTCCCAACAGTGACCTGTGTCAATAGCCATCTTGGGGCTTCTCTCTCACTTCGTCTGGGAGAACACAGAAGATGAGCTTCTTCCTTAGGTTTCACTTACTAAGAAGGAACAGGGATCCTGTACCTGTGGATAACGGTGTTAGCAGGATTTTTAAAATCATGCTATGTTTAACAAGCCCTAATGGCCTGATGTGCACATTGGGCAAAATTGGAGTGTACAATCTGTGGCCTGATTTTAGCCAGCTCTCATGTTGATTTCAAAATTACTCTGCCCCCAAATTGAGGCAAGTTACCTTGCCTTCTGTCTAGACCAGCTCCTATAAACAAGAACTCCTGATCGTTTCATGTCCATCTACCCTTCTTCCTCTTTCTACTTAGTTACTAGTTCTATCTAACGGCCAAGCCAAAATGAGCACCAAATGATATGATGTCAGAGATGTTTTGGACCATGCTGTTTATACTTTTCCCTGGAAGCAGGTTGTATACATTTCTAAGGATTTGTTCCCTTTCTTTTCTGTGCTAAAGGAAAAAAAAAAACTAAATCTTGGACTTTTGGCTAGACTGGGAGGTCAAAATAGATCGCAGAAGAAGGCAGTGGGCAATCACATCTGTAACGCAAGAACACTGCAAGGGTGCCGTTAGCAAGAGTCCAACTCAGCTCAAGGAAGTCTTTACCTTTCTATATGAAGGACTGTTCATAACTAAATGATTGAGATGGTTCCTGTTCCTTCTTTATTTCCTAGGTGGAAGTTATGTCTCAAAAGGAGTTCTCTGGAAGTCCACAGTGACCAAGAGGTTAGTGTAATTATTTGAGGTCCTTCTATGGACTTGCATTGTGACTTGGTTCCCCTCTTTTGAAGCTGGTTGCTGACCGGTTGCCTGAAGAGGTTGACTGAGAAATGTCTTGCATTGTAGAGTCAGATCCAGAACGCCGGTGTGGATGTCAGTGAGCTCCAGCTGGTGATCCCTGGTCAGGAAAATGAAAACAACAACCATTCTGTTGGAGGAAATGGCCTCGGTAAGCAGGAAGATGTTAGGTGGGCTGTGTTGTCTGATCTTTGTAACTAGAGAGTTCTTGTTCAGGGTCCAACCGCAGGAGACTCCATTTCATCCTAGCTGTTTTATCACACAACCAAACAGTATTAAAAATTCCTTGAGCGTGGATTAAGTAATGAACTGCTAATGTACATCCTTTAATCACATCTAGTTATTTTTGGACCGCTGCCAGGGAATTATGGGAAGCAAAGTCCAATGTATCCAGAGGTCCACGAGATTAGGGAAAGATGATAGAAGACATGAATAGAAACTCAGTGGAAGTCTTCAGTTTAGAGGAGATCCATGACTATAGAGCAGTGTTTCTCAGTCTTGGCAACTTTAAGATGGGTGGACTTCAACTCCCAGAATTCCCCAGCCAGCCATGGGAATTCTGGGAGTTGAAGTTCACACGTCTTGAAGCTGTCAAGGTTGAGAAACACTGCTGTAGAGCATCTGAGAAGAATACAGGATGGGTTAGAAATGATTCTGAAAATGTGCTCGCTGTATCTCTGATGCAAATAAATACATTTTTGCATTTTCTTTAGTCACATCCTGCTCTGGCAGTCTGGAACCCATCACCGATCTAGATGCATCTTCAATGTCAGCTGTGACGGGGAGTGATGAGGTCTTTATTATTTCAGCCAGTCCAGAACCTGGTTGCTTGAGTTTTACCTCTTGTAAAATGCAGGTGAGGAACCTGTTTTGGGTTTCCAGGGAAATGGTCTTTTTTTAAGTCCTTCCGTTCTGTTGTCTTGAAAAGTTGATGATAAAGTCCAAGTCGACTGACTTTCAGCGGTTCACCTTAACCTCCGTAAGACTTTTAATATGGGGTGATTATGAACAGACGTAATTCTGAGGTCTTGCCTTTCTTTAGACCATCCTGTTGGATATATCACCTCTATCCATCAAATGGTTTCCGTTGTCATGCAGAACAGAGGAAAGATCACCTGGTGACCTCCTCCTATTTCTGTTCTGCTGCTCTTATGTCCTATAAGAAGGATAAAAGGGTTAAAGCTGGAATAATTAAGGTCATTCCCTTGCTAATTGCTACACACTAATTAGCACTGGAGGATTGTTTCTAGTGGCTCTGGAAAGTTCTGTGCCGAGAGAGATCACGGTCATGTTTTCCTGTCCAGATTTTGCCTGTTTTTATCTCATTTTCGCCAGCCAAATGTTTTGAATGCTTGTTTACGTTTAATAAACAAACTTCAGGCAACATTTTGTGCATGTCTTCTTGCTCTGATCTGAATATAGGCACTGATTGGGGGGGCGAGGGGGGGGGGGCGCTGGCTGCTGTTACAGCAATTTTCCAACAAAACCAAGCTGTGACTCAAGAAGGAATTTTCGATCCGGCTCTGCAATGTTTGCCGTTGCTTGAAAAAAACGAGAAAACTCTGTGCAGTCTTTCCACGTTCCCCTGTGTTTTCTCTCTCCTAGGACCACACGTTGAAGCGAAGCACCACAAACCCCACTTCGGTTTCAGAATGGCTGATTCCCAAGCAAACGGGGCCCGGCAGTGGGGTGCCTGACTCCTGGGGGGACCACCCCAAGAGCTCTTATCTGAGGCAGCAGACACAGCGCACCTGCACCTTTCAGGATCTCCTGGCCCCGTTTCCCCAGCTGCAGGAGCGATGGTGCAGCTGGGTGACCAACAGTCCTTTCACCAAGCTGGGGAAGAGCGGAGTGAGTATTTGTGCCTGGGGAGAAAAGGAAGCAGATGGGGTGGCTTTGAAGTCTACCTCTCTCTCTCATCTCTCTCTCTCTCTCTCTCTCTTATCTATCATCTATCTCTATCTCTCTATCTATCTATCATCTATCTCTATTATTTATCTATCATTATCTCTCTCTCTCTCTCTCTCTCTCTCTCTCTCTCTCTCTCTCTCTCTCTCTCTCTCTCTCTCTCTCTCTCTCTCTCTCTCTCTCTCTCTCTCTCTCTCTCTCTCTCTCTCTCTCTCTCTCTCTCTCTCTCTCTCTCTCTCTCTCTCTCTCTCTCTCTCTCTCTCTCTCTATCATCTATCTCTATTATTTATCTATCATTATCTCTATCTATCTATCTATCTATCTATCTATCTATCTATCTATCTATCTATCTATCTCTATTATTTATCTATCATTATCTCTCTCTCTCTCTCTCTCTCTATCATCTATCTCTATTATTTATCTATCATTATCTATCT